TATATATATATATATATATATATATGTACGTATATATAGCGATTTTAGTAAAACTAAAATGTTACAAGTACGAAATATAATAAATGCAACAAATATGCAAGATTTCAACAGCAAAATGTACATAAATTATTACATTTTATAATTAATATTAAAATATAATATTTAATAAAAAATTAGTTATTATTACAATATAATTGATATCATATCAGCTTCAGTTGGAGAACAAGACAAGTTCGAATATAATTGATTATTCTAATTAATCAAACAATTATATTTTCAAATAAAGAAAGTTTAGACATTTACTAAATCTATTTTATTTATAAAATGCGTTAGATTTCTCTCTTGAAAGACGCATTTCTACTTATAATTCTTTATTGCATATTTTAAAGTATGTTCATACTTTGTGTATGAATGTTTTCTAATTTTTAAATTGTTTTTAAAATACTTTTTGCACGCTAAATTTAAAATAAAATATAGTATTCTAAATTCTGACACAAATCGCGACATCTATGATCTATCTAAACTTTTTTTAATATTCAAACGATACGAGTAATATTAAAAATAAATGTTGTGCTTATGTAGATGTGTGTGTGTAATTTTAGTATATAATAGAAGTATATAATATTAATAAAATTTCAGTATTATTTCAGATAAATTTAATTAACAATATTATAATATTATATAGAAAAAATGATAGATAATATTGATATTAATTTAAAAATAAAAATTTAGTCTTTAGCCAAGTTATAATTTGGACAAATTTAAATTAGAGATCAGCAGATCGGTTCAATGAAAATCAAAATATTGTGAGTCGTGTACAGTGTGCAAATATTTACGAGACATCGGTCGTGAAAATTTCACCGTTAAGTCTCAGTCTGTGTCCAGAATGTCAACGTGTAAGGATCTTGTCGTATGTTTCCTTATATTATGGATATTATTCGTTAATAACGCAAAATGCCAGGATCTAAAAGAAATGTCTAAAACATTGGACGAAATGCTGGTCAACACTAGATCATTTCGAAGACCCCGAGATCATGGAGATACATCGGTAATTTGGCAAGACTATAAATTCGGTACTGGGGCTGGAAATCGAGAAGGTAACTATTATCAAATACGCTAAATTAACACTTAATCTAATATTAATAAATATAATTTTATATTGTATAATTTTTAAAAATTTTATGTATAATAAAAAAAGCATTCATTCGATTTGAACATGATTAGGTGCAAATGAAATGATTAATTAAAGTGTAATGGGTACAGTTTTACTGCTTTACTGCTAATGAAAATTTATCAAAAATAAATGTCTTGTTTTGTGCAAGTAAATTTATAACTTTTTGGCTATTTGGCTGTGAATAATCTGAAAGAGTCTATCTATATTTTCAGAAGTTGTTGTAACAAATATTTCATTGCATACACTTACTGATAGCATTGACACATCAATAAACAATTGGCAATTTTTGCAAACGGAAGCAAGTTACTTTATTTGTGCTGAAAATTCGACATTACTTTTCTACAAGATTAACTGGGATGATTTGTTAATCAAACGTATTACAAGTATATCGACTGAAGGACACATATTACAGTTTAAAGTTCTTCATTTCAATGTCAAGGCAACATTTAATGAAAATCACAAAAACGATTTAATGGCAATTCTACTTGTTGAATCTCAATATGGTTATTCCTTGTATTGGTATAGAATTGTTGGAAATACATACATGTTGTATTCGACATGGCCTGTACGCAAGCAAATTCAAGGCATGGAATTCATACGAGAAAAGAATCAATATGAATTATTGCTACTTGACAATGATGATGCATATCTCGAAGGGCAGTCGTTGATTGATATTTACGGTTTCGATATTGATTACAATAATCATCGTATCAATATATGGTAATTCCGTTTATTCAGTTATGCATATTGCTTATTTTAAGTATATTACTTTACTTTAGTTTGCAATATCATATTATATGCGTATAACAAGCATTTTATACTTTGCGTTTTATAATAAAATTGTGCAAGGATTCTTTACAAGATTTCAAGATTAAGATTTCAAGAAAATTACAATTAAAACAAAGCACTAACTATACTGGTCAATAATTTATTAAATAACATTTGTTATGTGTTAATGCTTTTTCAACTTTTATGCAAATCTTGATACCTGTCCCAAAATTTCTGAGAAACTTTAAGAAAAGATGTTTCTGGCTTTCTTCTTTCAAAAAATTTAACATTTGTTTTAATCAATTGTTTACAATATTACATCTATAATACCTACATAGGTAACTGATAACTGATATTTCAGACACATTATGAAATCCATTTTTACGGCAATTTATAAAAAAGTAATTATAAATGTGTAAATGTAATCTTTGTCTACAAAAGTTTTCTATCTATATCGTGCAGGTTTTGTCGGCGGTTATTTGTTGCAAGAGTATTTAATGTCCAAGTTTGTCCAATTTACGGACGCACTGTATTGGCTTTTCAAGGAATTGATAACGTCATTTTATACGAATCGAAACATGAGGATAAATTGTGTCAATTTGAGAAATTTAAAATTATCAAATCCAACAAACTTTCAAATTTTGCCTGCTTCAAGAGTGGTTATATCGAATACTTAGCAATAGGTGGAAAGGAACCGCGTTTGTTGCACTTTTTTGAAAACGAATTTCAAGATAATACTGAGACGAATCTGCATTTCGATGGTAAAAAATGATAAATTGACTGAATTTCTGCCACAAACATAAAACAATAAATTAATTTATTTCACAGAAACAATCGAAATTTTATGGATAGTCACTATACCACTAAACACATATCGGGATGAATCTTTGTTACTGGTTCAATTAAAAAATTTAACAGTAATCGCTTTAGCTTGGCACGGATCAAAGTTTACGGTTGTGCCTTTACCCAATCAAATTATAAATAACTTTAATCTATCGAAAATTGTCATTATTCCAAAAGTCGGATTTGTGCATACAAACATGCTTGTACGTATAGAAGTGACCTTAAGTGAATCTGCGCATCCTACTCACGATGAGACGGAAAGCATGTTAAAGACACGAGCTTTGTTAGAGGTATGTTTCATTCCTTGTGTATAATGCTATAATATTAACTACAATATTACTTAATATATGTACAATTGTAATACATGTTTCATTTCATGTTTATGAAAAATACAGGGTGTCTCGAAATTCGCGAATCACAATATCATAGCAAGAAAGTCTTCGAGAAATTAAGTAAAAAAATTATTTGTAAATTTTTATTTTAAGCAATAGTTTTTGAGATATAAGGGTTTAACTTTAGCCAATTACAGATTAGTACTCGCGTGAAGTGAGCGACCACTAACACTACGATACGCTCACAGACATGTTTCCGTTTAATCGTAATCTATAATTGACTAAATTTAAACTAGCTCTTATATCTCAAAAACTATTGCTTAAAATAAAAATTTACAAATAACTTTTTTACTTAATTTCTCAAAGACTTTCTTGCTATGA